TCACCCAAACAGCTGCTTGGGCACACGACCGACATATCTGAGTGAACACCCCACTCATTCGCTACTCCAGTGACGGCAGAGCGTTGCCTCCTCGGCAGCCTCAGCCCTGGAGCAGGTCTCTGGAAGAGCAGGGAGTCATTTTCCTATGGGCAGCTTATTTAACCAGGCGCAATGACTGGTGTCTGCAGGGAAGTTTGATTTGCTGCCTTTTCCTGGCCCTGTTTTATCTTCCAAAGCAGTATCATTAAGGTATCAAGGGAAGCCTGGAGTAATTTCCATAGTGCAGAACCTAGGACTGGATTCACAACTCCTTGGTCCTACAGAGTGCTCATCCTGTAATCCTGAATATCCCCAGGAACATCAAACCCCAGATTTTCAGCACTGAAAGCTCTCTTTGGAGCTAAAAGAGTGACCCAAAGCTCATAGTGTTTCTCTTGCATTTGAATTTAAGGATGGGGGCAGGACAAGCATATGAACACTCGTGATGAATGTATGATAATCCACGGACATCTCTGTGGCAATGTATCTGAATGGACTGAAAACACCAGAAATATTTTAGACTGAGTGGAAGCAGAAGAAAATGCTCTGTGAGGTTTTCTAACACAGAAATCCTGCAGTGCCCAGCTAAGACTGCAGCCCTTCTGTCTGCAGTGCTGAGATTTCTGTACCGTATTGCATTTTGTGGTGTGGTTGTCTCTGCAGTCCCCTCCCAAGATTAAAGCCAGTCTGCTTTCGTTCTGCACATGAAGCCCCTTGTAAGGAGTGGCAGCAATTCTGGAGACTTCAAAATGCTTTGGAGAAGACTGTCAGTGCTGAGCATAACACTTAGCCAAAGAGATACGTCAGGAGTCAAGCAACAGAACATGTCATGCATTTTCCTCCCCATGTTTTTCTTTTCTCTGAGAAAGAGAAGTCCCCAAATTCTAAAAACTAAAAAAAACAAGAAAAAAAAAAAACCCCAAACTCCTAAACTTTCCATTTCTTTCATAGAAAGAAAAGCATTGAGGCCAAATTCACCCTTTGCAGGTAACTCCACTGTCTTTAATGAGGTTGCATGTGGAACTGATGTGGCCTGTCACACCCATCTGTTCAGCTAAATGAAAGGTTGGATAGCAGCATGTAAGAGGATGGAATTATATTCCTTTTTATTTTTATTTTTTACATCTGTATTACTTGCTTGGATGACATCATCTCCCTTTTCCCTGGTACAGCCAGACACATCCCTGATACAAACCATCTGCCTGAGGACAAATCTCATGAAAAGTGAAGACTGAAGGAAAGGGCACCATGGGACATGGAGGTTGAGTTGGCCAACTCCCATTTGTGGAAAATGAATGATCATTTCCTTTAGACTACAGACTGGTGCATTACCCAGCTCAGCTGGGTAATGGTGGAGAGGGAGGTTTGACAGAAAATAATTTCTAGACAAATACACAATTTAACTGTCTACACACAGGCACCTCGTGTCATTTTGGACACTCTACATTCTCTGACATATCTGCCCAGGTTTAAGACTTGTGCGAGTACTGTGTCATTGAAGCAACAGCTGGATTCCAATAGGCTTTTTTAGAGCACCTAAAATGTCACCAGATATTTATATTATTGAGTAAAACCCTAAGTCCTTCCATAAGGAAGGCCCTACCGTTTTCACAGAATGGGAGAACTTGAGGCAGAAAGTGGCCATCTCCTAAATGAGGCCCAATGCAGGCATGATGATGTGTAGGGAGGAATGGCATCTCCCTCACCACTGACTCCATCTTTCCTACCAGTACAGTGGCAACCCTGACTTGAGACATCTGGTGTAGGAAGTGGAGTGGGATCTTGGTTTTTAAAGACACTTCCCGAATCCATGTGTCTTAGGGAACAATGGCCCCAGTCCCTTCTCCAAAGCCATGGGGTCAGAGGCAGGCCTAGCCTGTGCACTCAGCATGGTGCCAAACCCCTAGCAGGCTCCCTCTGTTTCCTCCTCATAGATGGACAGTCAGACCCAGGGCTGGGATCCTCGGATGCACTTGGGGTGATTAATAGAATTCACACAGGCATTTTTCATTGACTTTAGTAGCCACTGCTCAACCCCTTACATTATATCGTCACAATGGATGACTAATTACATAATAAAACCCAACAAATATGCATAGCTGTCTTTAAAAAATCCCTTGAATGGAAGTTCCTTCCACCAAGTCCCCAACCACTGAGCTGTTTTAAGCCTGACCCCAGCTTTGAACAAAGGAGTACAACTTGCAGCTCATTTCGGCTGATGAACAGCTTGTAGCTTCACCTTCTTGACTCATGGTGGACTTGACATCATCATCAGACTGTACCCATCTAAGAGCCCATCACCTAGTATGAGCTCATCCTCTAAACTCAGAGAAAAGACAGAGGTACACCCATAGGGCAATTTACCAAACATAGCTCAGATACCATCCCCAAGCCATAATGAATCACCTTCTGGACTTGTTTGTTTCTTGCCATTGATCTTAGCAGAAAACTAGATAAATAGCTTAGACTAGATGACATGGCCATATGAAATAAATTCCGCTGCTGCAGTTTGTTCACCTTAGGAGGCAATTGCTCAGCAAATGCCTAGGTTATTTGGAGTTTTTTTTTTCCCCATGTTTCCCAAAGAGTTTCATCTGCTAGTGATGTTGGACTTGGTTTTGGTGTGAAAGCAGAAACAGTGGATGTTAGCATGCTGTGGATGGGCTGGGTTCAGAGTCCCGCTCCCATGCAAGGAAGCCAAATCCTTCAACCCATTTCTTCACTGGTATGGTATAAAAGAAGGAGATTGAAACCACCTTGCCTAAAATTATTAGAGTAAAATTAGTTGTGGGTGTGACCCTGCTGAAGTCAATGGATTGACAGGGATCATGACCTGCAATGATTTACATCTTCGTTGTCGGGACACCATTCACTGACAGAAGTACCTGGTGGGATGTGTCTAACATCTCTGGCTGTGACTGCTAGCACTGCATCATATTAAGTACATCAGACATCTCTTCCCTTGTCCCATCTTTTCCAATTCATCAACATCTTTCACCACGTATGTGTTTTTCCTCAGCGTTTGCTTTCTTGACAGCTTGTGTTTGAATATTGGTAATTGTGGCAATTTCGCCCTGCTGTGGCTTCTCTATTTGCCATAATGATCAGAATTCCCTTTTTTGCCACGCAATATTACAAAAATCAGTCATGCATCCATTAATTGGTCCATCTTTCTCTCAATTTTTAGTGATCTATTGCTTTCTACCAGTTGGTGTGTGGCCATCCATTGGGTACAAATGTTTACATGATTGATTGGTTTTCTCCACACGTTGTTCTTTGTCTCTCTGGCTCTCTTCCTCTCTCCTTCCCTCACTTCTGTGTCTTTGCTCTCATTTCATTGCAGGTTGTTGGTAGGTTTTTTTTTCTTTCAGAGCATTGATAGAAGTGCCTCCATCAATAAGCAAAGCTTGTTTGTGCCCTTGGGCACAGCCCTGAGACAAATGGGTGATGCATAAACTGCACCAGCCTAGGAATAGTGCCAGGAGACACCATGACTCAGAGTCAACCCTTGGAGGCATCATTTCCTCCTGTTTTCTCTCTGATGGGATTAAGCTCTGTTTGTTCCCTGTCGCTTCTGCATACTCCCTCTTTTGGTTCTGGGGAATAAACTGACAAACAGGGAGGGAACACTTTGATTTCTCTACCTAGATGTCCAGGTGTGAACCAGCCAACAGCTGTGATTACATTGCCATGAAAAGACTCTTATGGGTCACTAGGAGTTAGATCATGCCCCATTTCCCTTCCTGTACTGAAGAGGAAGAAAAAATGTCAATCCATTGTCCTTTTCCCAAGGTAGGATCCCAAAAGTATGGGTAAGGCAAAGAAGACACAGGACAAGTGTGTCTCAGGGAAAACAGGCTAGGACTCTCTGCTTGATTCACCACTCATTTATGCCTGTATCGACCAGGAATAAGCCAAGCAGAGTTACAGCGTTGTAAATACCAAGGTGATGGGCTGAGATTCACGTCGGATACCCACGTGGCTGAAGGAAGCCCTGATGCCCACAGAGGAGATGAGAGCTGTTTCTGTAAACAGGCAATCCTGATCAGAAATCAGAAGCAGAGCAGCATGAACAGACGGGGAGTCAGAGGTGAACAGCAGGGATGGGGCAGTGCTGCAGAGTTGGGATTTGGCTCTGTGTCCAACCTTGCTCAAACTCTGGGCTGGTTCAGAGTCTGGGTTTTGTGCATTTTAATCTGTGCCGCTTCTGGAGATGGGAATGGCTGTAGAAATTAGGTGCGTAGCAAAATTTCCTGGAGTCTGAAACTGTTCCAGCTTGTGGGGGGTGGTGGTGATGGGTTGGTTCACCATCATGTAAATTAATGGGTGACAAGCAGTCCTTCCGAATCAAGTTCCCGACAGTCTTGTGGTCTAAGGCTTTTGCTAAGTGCCCAGGGGGAAGCCTGCATGAGACGCAGAGAGCAGATGGACTAAGTGCACTTTCCACTGTTGGTGATGGCATTCTCCAATGAAGTGGGAGAGGTAAACACTTTCCCTTTCCTCCCCTATGGGAACAAACTGGCATGCTGAGGGGCTGGATGTCCTACACCCAGCAGCGAGTGTCCAGCCCCAGGAGACTCACTCTACAACATGTTTCCAAGGAAGACTCGTTGACTGAGACTCATACCAAGCCACAGCTGGAGCAACATTTCCATTCATGGGACTGTCTCCTTCTCAGTGCACACACCGAGTCCTCTTCATGTATCAGGCACTGAACTTTTCTGTACTGTGCGCATCACCTGTGTGCCAACATGGATTTACAGGAAACCATCAGCAGTTCTTCCTCTCCTCCCTCCTTCCCTCTCTACAGGTGTCACTCAATCCTGTGTCAAAACTGGCAGAAGCTACTATGCTAAAAAGGTCATGCGAAGAGCCTGCCCGCTCTACAGCTCTACTTGTATTTGTAGACTTCTCTGGTTGCAGGGTAAAGCAAAGGAGTGTTTGAATTATTTTTTTTTTTAATCATTAATTTATCTGCTTTTATTTCTTTTACTGCTGTTGTTGTTGCTCGTATTATACACAAAGTCTGGCCATTTGGGTATGCCGATAATCTCAGAAAGCTTAGTGTTGCTGTCCAACACAGCCTCGGCCTGGCTGAGAGAAAAGGAGATACTTAGGAAGATGCAAGTCTTTCAAAGGACACTTAATCACACCAGTCACTTCAGGTGGGTGAGAGCAGAGCAAATCCATGCTTTTGCGAATGCTCTTCTTTCCAGGTCTGTGTTGTCAGCTGGTTGGAAAACCGCTGTCTCCTGCAGGAGTCATCATCAGGGTGTAACTTGTGTGACTGCCAGACGTACCTCGGGACAGCCCAGAAGTCATTAGACCTATTCTATCTGACCAGTTTTAGCCTTTTTTAAAGTTTTTATTCTTTTAATATAAAAAGGTAGACTTCTCTCATGTCTGCAACCTCAGAGGAAGTAAGCTCAAATCCATTTCTCCACTTGGACCCCAGCAAAGGGAGTTTGCCTCTTTTATTTGCACGTGTGGACATCGTAGACTCGTATGCACTCCTGGCAGCGGACATAGCAGCACCAGTGGAAGATACAGTGGCACTTCTCTTTCCGTTTCTCAGTCCTCGTGTTGTGCCCACGGCCGCAGCACAAAAGGTCGCAACCATCAATCCCATGGGAAGTGACATTACAGATCCTGTCACGTGTCCCAAAGGAACCTGTCTCAGGGTTGGGCTCACAAAAGTTTGGTGAGTTCTCATAGTAAACCAGGTCCTTCTCAGTTGGAGCCTTGAAGAAGTTGTATTTGGGCCTGAGGGTCTCGACCCAGCCACGGGATTCTCGATGTTTCTCCACCACCATTTCAGAAGCACTGTCGTACTTGTCCTTGAGGTAGTCACCGATGACCCTGAAGTCTGGCTGAGACCACCAGCAGGTCTTCACTTCACAGCTGCCTGAGAGGCCGTGACATTTGCACTTAAGATGCATGAGTTCAATAATAGACTAAAAAAAAGGAGAGGAAAGGCAGGTAAGAAGGAAGACATTAGCCTGTATCAAAACACATATTGCAGTCTGCTATTTAGCCATGATTTCCTAAAGAATTTCAGTGTTTTCATGGGTATATTTACACGCTTGTGAACAAAAATCACCTTCTCCTCCTACCAATGCTCTGCACAGATGCTGGGTCTAAGGCAGATAAGACTGCTGCAACATTATTAGTTGCAGTCTCTATCTCTGATTCCCACTCCAAATTTAAGCATCTACCAAGTGCTTTCACTAAGGGCTGAGATTTTTGTGCATACTAACTTCTGTCTTATCAATGTTCGTCTGTGCGTATTGTAGTACTGCCACCCAAGATCACAGTTCAGACACATCTAGGCAGAGAAGTGAAGAAAACACAAACCTACAAAACCCGTGTCTTAAACAGCTATTCCACTGGAAATTAAATAATTGTGAAACATCCTAGCCATCTAGCACAGAATTCCACCTTTTTCATGTGTTTCATGTTTACTTCAGCAAACAAGGTTCTAACCTTGCCGCAGCTTTGTTCAGAAACCTGAAAAGTAATGTATTTTTATTTTTAAGCCAGGCTTATGATTTTACTCAAACTATTTCAAAATAAATATAGAAGCCCAGCTTCTGATTTTGAAAGGCATAGACTTCAATGTAAAACACTGTCCTGGACTAAATGGAATGGTGATTATTGATACCAGAAGTTTGCTATTAACTTTTACCTCTCATGAAATTAGTCTAAGGGTTTCTAGAGGTGTTGCCCTCTAGTATCCTGAGATGGGAGACAGCCTTATGCAATTTACTTGATAATCTGCATTTTCAGACTGATCAGCAAATTTCCGGGTACGTGAACAGACTAGTGCCAGCCTGAGTCCAAAAGATTTGCCATGAATCAGCACCTTGGTGTTCACCAGGTGCTTTCCTGTGTTATTTACAGAGTATCACCCGCCGCAAAGGAGGTTGTAATTAGCGATGAGAGAGAACCACAAAATGTTTGGTTCATATAATCATGCTGAACTTAATCAAAGCTGCTGGCATAGTGGTAGAGTTTGAGTTCATATGGGAACTAATATGAAATATTGCCTGTGGCTCAGGTTTAGCTGGAAACACTTGTGTATGGAGGCCTGGAAGAGCTATCCCGTGAGTGCTGGTGCAGTGAGGATGGAAAACACTAGTGCTTTATAAAACAGTAGGACTTCAGATAATGATGTGACATCTGCTCTCTAATCCTTGACATTTGTAAAATATCCAAAAATAACTCAGTGTCAAGAAACAAGACGTACAGTAAAGACACCTTCGCAAGCCTGTGATCACAGAGATGTTTGCTCAAAGCTTGTTCTTTCCAAGGATTCTCACTTTAAGGCAAATCCCTCCTTTCCACTCTATCCAACTTCTCCACAGTCCTATTTGTCTCATTATCTATCCCAGCGACTCCCACCAGCAATGAATGATACCTTGGGGTACTGGGATAATTTGGCCCAGTGATGGAGAAAAGCACATTATTGCCTGTATTCATCTACATTGCAGACAATTTTTGTTTCTAGTGGTATTTCAGTTTGAAAGGTTGTATTCCCTATTTCAGACCAGCTCTACGGTGGTGTGAGGTTGGATAACTCCACCAAGGTTTGACAGTGTCCACCTGAGGAGCTCACACTGAAGTCCTAGCCTGCCTGGGGACAGCCGTTTCCTAGCGCAGTGCAACTGTGGTGGCTTTGCTATACCTCACTGCACAGTCATATATCCTCCTAGACATTTGTAAAGCCTTCTGATGAGGGAACAAGACCATATTAATCTCTTCTGATTACAGTGAGGTGTCTTTCTTCCACTAAGGGATAAGCTATCTCCAATTTAATACATGAAAAAAATGCTGCTATCTCAGAGAAACTGCAGCATCATCTCCATTAGCAAGACCTCTGTGGTTCAGTTTCAAAAATTGTTTCCCATGGATTACATTCTTCTGACATTTATGGACTATTCTTGAGATGAAAAAGAGAATGTCCTCTTACTGGGATTGTTCCACCTTATGGAAAAGATTCACTGTGTACAAGGCAGTCACTGTCATGAGGGCAAGGTTTTGTGCATTCTGTTCCCTTATACATTTTGTTCCATGACTGTTTGAAGCGAATACACATTAGCTAGCTTTGGGACATGGTCCAAGTTTAATCAGGAGGCACCAGAGTCAAATTTCTTCTTATTTCTTTTTAAATATTCCCTGGGAAATAGAACAGTGTTGAAAAAGGTGGTGGTAGGAAATGCTCTCCTGCTCTTCCCCACCCTCAATCTTACAGAGCAGAGTGGTGATCCCAGGGGAATGGACAGTTGCACTCAAACTAGGATTCAGTTGCCTAAACACATGCAACTAATGCCATTTGTGAGCTCCAGGGGTGTCTAAGGTATCGGTCCCAAAAATGCAGAGGACCTGCAGGAGACAGAGAGTCTTTCCCAGTGGCAGCCCAAGGAAAGGCTGGATAGTTTAGGATGTCTCAATCTATACTAAAATGCATTTGCTTAAGCAGCTGAATCCTCCCCATAACCCTGGTCCATCTCGCTTAACTTTAGATGTCTACAGTACAGACATCTCTGGCTGTAGAGCTCATCTCCCTACAGCCAACAGAGAGGAACAGGCACAATTAGGGCATCATTAACTGAGCCATTTCAAATGTTTCCTTCAAGTTGTGATGAAATCCCATCCTAGACCTGTCTGTATTGATCCATTCTCTATAAAAGAGGTCTGGACAACTATGTCCAAGGTAGGCATTTACATTGGGGTGGGTGAATTTACTTATAGCATTCATAGACCAGGTACATCAATCACCTCCCTGACATGGCAGGTACCGTTTTATGATGTAAAACTGCCCAGATTTATGTTTGTTTATTCCCCCCAGTTCCCTCCCTCTGTTCATTATAGTAGGTAAGAAAGATTAAAGGGAGATGGAGAAAGGTGAAACTAAACGTCCTTACGGTCCTTCCAGCTTCGTTGTTGTGCCTGTTCATGGCTGACCGAGCGTCTGGTCTGTTCTCTCGGGCATCCGCAAACTCCCGAGACACCATGCTCCCAAACTCCACGTCCTCGCTGCAGCCCCCCCATTTCCAGCCTTCCCCGGGAGAGCCTTTGTGGCGGGTGTCACAGCCGCAGATGGTGGCCGAGCCCTCGGCGCAGGATCTGGTCACCGCAAAAGCCACCCCAGCAGAGGCAATGGCATGGACAAAGGCTGATTCCCTGGTAGCTGTGAAAGAGAGAAATCAATGAATAGTGTCCAGTGAAGGGACCACACATGGCTTTGATCAGCCCTGTGAACACCTCTCAAGGGCATGGCAGAAGGACAGGAAACTCTTTCCTGTGGTCCGGCTTGGACCTGCTCCAAAGACATTTTCTTATACTAGGAAATAAGCTCCTGCGTAGACAGGACCAGGCTTGATTCAGGGTCGCTGAGGTGAGCCAAGAAGTTTTGACTAAGGTCATCCTAAGGTCTTAGGAAAGGTCCATGGCAAAATAAAAAGCAGTGCAAGCCTGAGTTTCAGGGGGCATATAGAACATACTGTATGGTACTTTGCAGGCAACACACCACATCATAGCTGTACCCTGAGCTGCAAGTCTTGGCTTCAGGTGCACAGAATCTGGGCTATGTTCCCATAACTTGGAAAATGCAGGGCTACACTTAATGACAGCCTCCACACTCAGTGGTGGGACCAGCACCAGGTAAGGCACCTCCTTCTCCTTGAAAGGGAGAGCTGCTAATGGCTGGAAGGTAGGAAAATTCCAGGATATCCAGATACTCCCCAATCCTCAGTATGTAAAGGAAACATTGTCCCCAGCCTCCATCCTGAGGCCACCTTCTTTTTCCTAGGCTGTCTAGCTCACTGAGAGGGTGTTCAATATATGTCATCTGGCATCTCTCCAAACTCATTGCCTAATTAATAACTCTGCCAGGTGGACTGGAAATGAGCTTTCATTTTCTGCCCATTGCCTCAGTATGGTGGGTGGAATTAGCCAAGTGGTGTCATAGTTAGGGACAGAGGACCCTTAGTCTCTGTGGAGACCTGCCTTTCATCCTAGCTGGATCTGGGTGGGGAAGGGCAGCTCAGCTTTGGCTTGGCTTTTTTGGATGCCGGTGCTTTTTCTACACTATGCCAAAGTGAAAACCAAACATTTCAAACTGCTCTGTAAATGAGGAATATACCAAAATATCAGTTTTTATTCCTGCCCCCCGCCCCAGTTTTGGTCTCATTATGTTTCTTCATTCACTAGAAATGACCCTGAAGTTCAGCATCCCACCTCAGAACACACCACTGCAATGCTCTTCGGCTCAGGCAAAATGTCATTTTTATCACGAACAGGTCTATTCTCAAACCCTTGAGGCAATTCTAAGAAGACAATTCTGATAACTGGCCTCCCTTAACATCCTATACCATTCCCCATACAAGCTCACCTCGTGCCTATAGACCAGTTAGCCAAGAAAGCATGTTGTCTCTGACACCTTTCAGATGATTAGGCTAGGTCGGTGTTGAAATATGACTGGATCCATAAAGGCAGAAGGTCAGTTTTTCAATTGATGCAGCTTCACCAGCTTCTACTGAGCTTTGCATCAGCTGACAAGGTGCCTCCTCAAAACCACTCAAACCTTGTCTGCACAATATTTTGCTGATCTGAGCTCTCCCTGGGCATTTTGGCTTAATCTCTACCTTCTAGATGCTTCCAGGCTTTACTAACGCAAAGAGGGTTTAATATGCCAAGCCAAAAAGCCAACATGTTCTCAGGGAGAAATCAAAACTGCATGCTTGCAGAGCAGTCCCGGCTGGATTGAAGGTTTAAGCAAGAACTTATGCAGCACCGCTTCGCTTTGGGAGGACTACCAAACACAACAATATGCAAATCGAATGATGTGCATGAACTTACAAGCTGAAGGTATGAGCAATGTCCTGGAACATGTTGTCAGTCGTGAGGTTAGTAAGTCACTGAGGGCTAGAACCAAAAAAGGAAAATGCAGGAACCCTCAGTTTCCCAATGTGACTTTGAAAAATCCTTGTTCAGCATCTGTCCAGCCTGGAGGATCCCAGCTTCCTGTGAGTGGTGACCATGAAGCTCCTGAGCTGTGTGAAAGCTCAGGTTTTGAGCATGAACAGATGAGTCCAGTTCTAACAGGACTGGGGATTTGGCACCTTGCACTTGCTTCAGCCCAGGTGGGATCCAGAAACCAAATTCTGGGGTTTGGACCTTCTTATGATATCTCCGAGGACACTGATGACCAGCCCTGTGGTCTGTGAAAGGCAAAGGCTTCTCATAGAGGCCAGACAGGTAAGCCGGGAATGCCATTACCCTCTGGTAGGGAGGTAGGGGGTATAGTGCTTGACCAGAGAACAGCTAACACACCTTCCACCTCCTCCCATTGTGTCCTAACTAACCCTGACACCCTTTGATATGCTGCTATGCCATGGGCAGGAGAGGAAGATGGCAATTCTTCTTCCCACGTCTATCTGGCAGCTGTAGTGGTTAAAGCACATTTCTTTGCTAGGTTAGCTCATTTCTTGGGACTCACTCCTTCCTCTGCTCCCAAGGAGAGACTTGACCCAGGCCTTCAGCTACTTGGGAAGGTGCTGTAGGTACTGGTGTTTGCAAATGCTTGGCCATGATGGCAAATAAAGCACCTACAACCATGGTGTTTGTGCAGAAAACCTTCTCCTGTGTGGATATGAGAGGGGTGGACTTGGCTTCAGCCAAGGAGCCATTAGCTCAGAAGGGAGGTGTTTCTCTGTGCATACAGGTGCAGAGCTCACCAAAACCCAGGTTGCTTCAGGCCACAGAACCAGAGGGTCTGCAGAATTTCTGCATTTGCCAGGACTCGGTCTCACCTGAACGAGGAATTACCGAGGACAGCTTAGGTTGTACCCAATCCTAAATCCCAAGTCCGTTACCTAAACTCTCTGTTGTTGTTGGCCCTTACTGAAACCCTGCAGTTCCAAGAGGGTATTGATAGGATTCGCCTTAAGAAACACCGATTATACCCAACTCTCCTCTTCCCAGAAAGAGTCCAGTGACTTTTACAGCTGGTATACGCTGTAATCACTCCCCTGCTCTTGAAATGCAGCCACCCCTGGGGTGGAGTGCAGCCACCACTTAACAGCACACAACAGGAAGCAAATAGCATTGTATCTGATCGTAACTACCTGGGGAATGTAGGCAGGCAGAGCAAAGAAACTGAAATCTGGCCCCAGGCACTGAGGTTAGGAGTTTGTCTCTTGAGAAAGTTGCCGCCGATCTCTTAATGACTCCATGAAATTAGGGCACTGGGTTTACCTCTCCAACCCCCTAACTTAAGGCACCGAGTTCAATATTGACGCAGATGGAAGACCGCCATCGCCTGAATCACGTCCTGCCACCTCCGAAGTTATAGGACTGTCCTCCCGATTACTAAGCGGACCTGACCCTGCCGAGCTCTGAAGAGCTCCCCAGGTTGTAGCCGGAGGCGGTGTGGCTGCAGGAATGGAGAAGGAGTGTATAGAGATACAGATAAGCAGAAGGAAAGCATGCACTTGTAATGGAAATGAGGGGTTATTAAGGTGCCATATAAAAATGCAAGAGAATTCGAAGAGATAAGAGGAAAGTGCAGTATATTTGTCAGGTCGCCTCATTCCTCTCTGGGTGGTTCTGGTAGCAGGAGACAAGCAGCTCGTTATGACTTGAGGAGAGCTTCTGGAAACTCATCTGGCAAGAGAAGGTTAATAGAGACTAATATCTCATGGGGATGTTGGCTTAAGAGCATTTTAACCACTTTGTTTTCAGTGCAGCACAAGGTCACCAAAGCTCTGGCTTCAGCTTGTTTAAGTCCTGCCTGCTCCCGAGTTTCCCTGCAGGGCTTAGAGACTTGGATGGCTGGTGCTTCAAAGTACCCTGTTCTGGACCCTTTTGGGAGGGGTGGCTGTCAGTGAAAAAGGTGCTGGGACTTACAGAGGACCTTCAGGGATGCTTTGTAGCTGCCACTAATACAGAGGTTTCCAAGTCACTGGTCTCTTCCGGAAATTGTTTCCTAAGGAGACCGGTATGTGAAGCTGAGAGCCCAAATGTCCTGTGCAGAACACCTCTGACCACCCTGTCTCAGCAGCAGAAATGTCTTGGGATGCAAAAACACATGGCCAAGCAGTATCAGTGTGAGAATTCAGAGGCCTGAGGATGAGGTGACCTAAGACTTGATTTCCTGCTTTGGCAGGGCTTTTCTTTAATGTGAATTTGGGCAAACCCTTCAGTCAGTCTGTGCTTCTGATTCCTTATCCATCCACCTGAAGACAATTCTGCTTATCTCCTCAGGAGCCTGCAATGCTAAATTCAGTGATGTCTTCAGAATCATGGGAGAAGGTGTTGGAGCCAAACAGAGCGTTATTAAGTTGTGAGACGTAGAAGGCAAATGAATAACTGCATAAATATCCAAACTGTCTAATATATGAAAACTTCTCTTACGTGTTCTTCTGCCCAGACAGTGACTTAGTTTCCCTGAATCTGTCTCTGAATCACTAAATGATTAACCCCTGGGCAGGTAGATATCCCAGATATGTGGAAAGAAGGACTACGGTGATGTAGAAGGTTGAACATAATGGTTTATTTTGGTTTTAAAAAACTACAATCTCTTTTTATCACCTTTGTACCATAGTACTGAGCCCTGTTGTCCCCACTGTTGACACTCTAATTCTTTCCCTCCTTCCTAGTGGTAACAGCAGGTTCCTGGAACAGGGCAATGCAACCCACCTTCAGATGTGTTGGGGGCTGAAGTTGCAAGTCCTGTGTCCTGGACCACAGGTTGAAGAACTAGGTGGTATTTTAGAAAGGAAGCACTGCTATTTCCACTGACTGCCCTTTCAAAGAAAGCAGTGAGATCTCCGCAGTCTAAGAAAGAAAGAGAGAGAGGGGGAGGAAGGAAGGAAGCAAGGAATATGTCTTCATGTCTTGCTTGTGGTGGTTCTGGACTGTACATCTTGCAAGGGAGGAAGCAGGTCTCAGCAGCTGGAGAACTGATAGCCAAGTAGTAGAGATGGGCCCTACTCTAAGGGTTTTCCTCTTGGCATCCCACTTTTTTGATAGTTATACTGAAGGTGTGGAAGCTCCGTTGCAAAGGGAACCTTGATGTCTCCAGGACAGCTACTGACTTTTCTCTGCGGAGACAAACCTCTCATGCCAAAAACCCTTTACTGCGTAGGACCTTGTCACCATCAGTTTTGAAACATAGCCCTTGGAATG